CTTGGAATGACAGCTCGGGTCATCTGCCAACCAAAGAATCGTGTTGAAGGAGACAGACTGAAAAAAAAAAGTCCTGAGACGTCACTTTTTGATCTACCTACCTGATTAATTGTAGGCAACAGCAGGCAACTACCCCTCATCTTTGCAGTGGTAAAGAACCTGCGTTCCTGTCATCTGGACTGACTATTCAGTTGTTGGGTTGTCACTCAACACCTGTGACCCTCCCTCCCCCCCACATCATCAGTAACGGCTACAATTTCTACAAGACGGTGTCAACCTCAACCAGACACCCCAGTATAACTATACATATTAGCATTGAATTCAAATGTCATTTTTTCATTTCATTTTTCATTTTTCTTTCAAGTAGGATACTCATGCATGTTTCAATGTTTTATCTTTGCATTACTATATAATAAAGTGTTTATCTTTGTGAATTATTATTTCTTTTTCTATTCATTAATTTTCCTGAGGAGGAGCCAGCCTTGGTAATACTGTCTGAAGTTGTTACAGGGCTGAGTAAGCCTTCACAGTGATATACAATTTTTCTTTATCTAAATCATTTGACACCCTCATCACCTTACTCTTATCTATGTTCACTTTCAACTTTCTACTTTTACACACCCTCCCAAACTGTCCACTAACCTTTGTAACTTTTCTTTAGAATTTCCCATAAGCACAGTATCATCAGCAAAAAGTAACTGTGTCAACTCGCATTTTGTATTTGATTCCCCATAATTTAATCCCACCCCTCTCCCCAACACTCTAGCATTTACTTCTTTTACAACCCTATCTATAAATATATTAAACAACCATGGTGACATTACACGTCTAAGACCTACTTTTATTAAGAAGTAATCTCTCTCTCTCCTTCACACCCTAACCTGAGCCTCACTATCCTCATAAAAACTCTTTACAGCATTTAGTAGCTTACTACTTGTTCCATATACTTGAAACATCTGCCACATTGCTCCCCTATCCATTCTATCATATGCTTTTCTAAATCCATAAATGCAATGAAAACTTCCCTGCCTTTATCTACATACGCTTCACATACATACTTTAATGTAAACAATTGATCTGCATATTCCCTACCCACTCTAAAGCCTCCTTGCTCATCTGCAATCCTACTCTGTCTTACCTCTGGTTCTTTCAATAATAACCCTACCATACACTTTTCCTGGTATACTCAGTAAATTTATTACCCTATAATTTTTACAATTTCTTTTGTCTCCCTTCCCTTCATATAAAGGAACTATACATTCTCTTTGCCAATTCCTAGGTACCTTCCCCTCTTTCATACATTTATTAAACAAAAATACTAACCACTCCAACACTATATCGCCCCCTGCTTTTAACATTTCTGTCATGATGCCGTCAGTTCCAGCTGCTTTACCCTCTTTCATTCTAAGTAACACCTCACACACCTCCCCCACACTCACATTCTGCTCTTCTTTACTCCTAAAAGATGGTATACCTCCCTGGCCAGTGCATGAAATTACCGCCTCCCTTTCTTCATCGACATTTAAAAGTTCCTTAAAATATTTCCACCATCTACCCAATACCTCCAGCTCCCCATCTACTAACTCCCCTACTCTGTTTTTAACTGACAAATCCATACTTTCCCTAGGCTTTCTTAAATGTTTATCTCACTCCAATTTTTTTTCTTATTTTCTTCAAAATTTCTTGACAGTGCCTCTCCCACTCTATGATCTGCTCTCCTTTTGCACTCTCTCACCACTCTCTTCACCTTTCTTTTACTCTACATATATTCTGCTCTTCTTATAACACTTCTGCTCTGTAAAAAGCTCTCATAAGCTACCTTTTTCTCTTTTATCACGCCCTTTACTTCATTCCACCTATCACTCCTCTTTCCTCCTGCACCCACCCTCCTTTAGTCATAAACTTCTGCCCCACATTCTAATACTGCATTTTTAAAACTATTTCAACCCTCTTCACCCCCCCCCCCACTACTCATACTTGCAGTAGCCCACCTTCCTGCCAATAGTTGTTTATATCTCACTCTAACTTTCTCCTCCATCAGTTTATTCACCTTCACCTCTCATACTTGCTGTTGCCATTTTCCTTTTGTCCTATCTACCTCTTACTCTAACTGTAGCTACAACTAAATAATGTTCCGATATATCAGTTGCCCCTCTATAAACATGTACATCCTGGAGCCTACCCATCAACCTTTTATCCAACAATACATAATCCAACAAACTACTTTCATTACGTGCTATATCATACCTTGTATACTTATTTATCCTCTTTTTCATAGAATATATATAACTTATTACCAAACCTCTTTCTACACATAGGTCAATTAAAGGCTCCCCATTTTCATTTACCCCTGGCACCCAAAATTTACCTACTACTCCCTCCACAACACTTTTACCCACTTTAGCATTGAAATCCCCAACCACAAGTACTCTCACACTTGGTTCAAAACTCCCCACGCACTCACTCAACATTTCCCAAAATCTCTCTCTCTCTCTATGCTTCTCTCTTCTTCAGGTGCACAAACACTTACTCTAACCCACTTTTCACATCCAACCCTTACTTTACAGCACATAATCCTTGAATTTACACATTTATATTCCCTCTTTTCCTGCCATAACTTATCCTTCAACATTATTGCTACTCCTCCTTTAGCTCTAACTCTATTGGAAACCCTTGACCTTATTCCTTTTATTTCTCTCCACTGAAACTCTCCCACGCCTTCAGCTTTGTTTCACTTAAAGCCAGGACATCCAGCTTCTTCTCATTCATAACATCCACAATCATCTCTTTCGCACAACATCCACGCACATTCAAACATCCCACTTTGACGGTTTTCTTCTTTTTTTTTAGTAGCCTATACGGGAAAAGGGGTTACTATTCCCATTGTTCCCGGCATTTTAGTTGGCTTGTACAACACGCATGTCTTACGGAGGAAAGATTCTTATTCCACTTCCCCATTGATATAAAGGAAAAGCAGCAAGAACAAGACCTATTAAGATAAAATCAAAGAAAACTCAGATGAGTGTGTATACATAAACATGTACATGTATGTGTAGTGTGACCTAAGTGTAAGTAGAAGTAGCAAGACGTACCTGTAATCTTGCATGTTTATGAGACAGTAAAAAGACACCAGCAATCCTACCATCAAGTAAAACAATTACAGGTTTCCGTTTTACACTCACTTGGCAGGACGGTAGTACCTGCACAAATGGCTGATGTCTATCACCACCCTACTGCTTATATATATATATATATATATATATATATATATATATATATATTATATATATATATTATATATATATATATATATATATATATATATATATATATATACCACCAAGGCAGGGTGGCCCGACAAAGAAAAACTTTCATCATTCACTCCATCACTGTCTTGCCAGTGGGGTGCTTTACACTACAGTTATAAAAGTTATGTATATATATATGTATATACATATATATAAATATATATATATATATATATATATATATATATATATATTATATATATTATGTGTGTGTGTGTGTGTGTGTGTGTGTGTATATATGTCGTGCCGAATATGTAAAACTGGTCAATTAGCAAGAACTCATATAAAATTAAGTCCTTTCTAAAAAAAATTTTTATACGTTTAAAGATATATTTTTTTCATTAATGATATTGTAAAAAAATTTAATTTTGCACCAAAAGAATTTTAGAAAACTTACCTAACCTTATTATAACAAGAACAATTTATTTTAGCCTAACCTAACTAAATATATTTTGCCATATAGGACAAGTGAAAATTTGTGTATGCAATAATTTCGCCAAAATCATTCTGAACCTAACGAAAAAAATATATTTCACTGTGTTTGTTTAGTATTAAATTATTGTAAACAAAACTAAAATATATTTAGTTGGGTTAGGCTAAAATAAATTGTTCTTGTTATAATAAGGTTAGGTAAGTTTTCTAAGATTATTTTGGTGCAAAATTAAAAAAAAATTACATTAACATTAATGAAAAAAATATATCTTTAAACGTATAAGAGAAAATTTTAGAAAGGACTTAATTTTAAATGAGTTCTTGCTAATTGACCAGTTTTACATATTCGGCACGACACACACACACACACTCACACACACACACACACAAACACACACACACACACACACACAACACACACACACATAACACACACACACACACACACATATATATATATATACATTATATATATATATTATATATATATATATATATATATATATATATATAGTATATATATATATATATATATATATATATATATATTATATATATATATATATATATATATATAAAATGCGTGTGCGTGTGTGTGTAAAAATCACAAAGCGCGTGATTGTAAATATGTAAATATACCACAGTGAAAATAGAAAATAAAGTCTGAGAGTTTTCATATGCTGACTCATATTGTCAGAGGAATAGAATATATGTGTAAGCACATAAAAACGCTCAGGTTTTATTTACTCTTTTCACTCTGGTATTTTTACTTATACGTATATACAATAATCTAGTAAAAAGAGATGAGACATAGGATATATTCACTGAAAGGTGTGTGTCTCTCAGTGTATATGTGCTGAGAGCTGTTTAATTTTAGGGATTAAAGTATATTTGGCTTGTGGTGAACAGGTATATATAACCTTAATTAGCCTCGTGTAGTCGGCAGATTTTAAACCCCTTTAACCAATCAATCGGAGGAGGCCAGCGCAACCATCACAGCTAAAACACAAGCTTCGAAAAAAGAGGAATGTGTTGTCAATCTCGACTGTTGTAGTGATTGTATAATGCAGCGAGTTGATGCAGCAGCTCATCTGGGTGATGAGATCCGTTCAGCTGTGGTACGTCAGCTGGGTCAGAGAGACAGACTAAACATTTCTATTTTTGAACCAGTCATTTGGACAGAGGCTTAGATACTTGGAAACATAGCGACAGTCTTATAATCCAGTTAAATTAGCCCGAAAAAAAAGCAAAAAAAAAAAGTACCAGAGTTAATTTACAAAAATCTGAAATTTTCCACATGTGATGCTGAAGACAGCAAGAAACAAAAATGAAAAATACTTTTCCTCCCTCCGGCCACAGCAGTACCTTCTGCAGTTTCTTACAGACCTGACAGCACTAATATCAACCACTATGATTTGTTTCGGTCAGAAAGTTATGTGTATGGACAACATAAAACGTCCAATAGACTGTGTGACACGGTGACTGCTAGAATCAGGTTGGCATATCGTCCCCTGTGGCAGAAACAGCAATGCCACGTGAACCTGCTCTCCCTGTTTATTCTACCTGTTCTACGAAACAGAGGAGACTCGCCACCTTTATTACCATTACATAGTTGAGTGTCCAGTTGTAAGTAACTTTATGTCTGGT